GGTCCACAGTACCAAATGATTCTGAGGATATATATAGAGAAAAATGATAAATATATAGATCATAGGCATCAAGTGACCCCGAAAACAAAACACACACAAAATGTGGATATATTACCATCAATAAAGATCAAGAAGACTCCTGTCAACTTGAAATAGGATCAGGTCCTTGATGCTTTTTCAAAAATGCATATGGGGGTGAGGAGCCAGGTAGTCACAGTGCGTGGATTCCAAACACATATATAGTGTGTATGTAGCATATAGCAGGCCGTAGATACCTGAGTTTAATATACCCAATACAGGGTTTCCAAAAATTGCTCAATTAGAGAAGGTTATTGCGGTTTTATAAGGATGTGGCTATGTCACAGCAAAAAATGCCTGAATAGGATAGCGTATATATATATATATATACATGTAGATTATCCTCCAAAGAGGGTTTCCAAAAAATTCCCCGAGTATACAGGGTAAATTAGGCCCATAAAACATGCCCTATTGCCACCATATAGGCTCTATAAATCTCAACAGCCGTAAGCTTTAAATAACTTGCCACCGGTGGAAGGTATGTTTCCCTGAGGGATTGCCGTTTTGCGAACCGCTGTAATAGTAGCCCAGTGGTAGTTCTCAGAGGGTCTTGGGCCTTCCTAGCAGGGAGCTGTGACACCGCCGTTCCTTCCCGCCTCGTGGGCGCCGCACCCAGTGAAGACGCCAAGCGTAGTGACGTCAATACGTTGACGCGTTTCGTCCGCCAATCACCGCAGACTTCGTCAGAACCAGACGAAGTCTGCGGTGATTGGCGGACGAAACGCGTCAACGTATTGACGTCACTACGCTTGGCGTCTTCACTGGGTGCGGCGCCCACGAGGCGGGAAGGAACGGCGGTGTCACAGCTCCCTGCTAGGAAGGCCAAGACCCTCTGAGAACTACCACTGGGCTACTATTACAGCGGTTCGCAAAACGGCAATCCCTTCAGGGAAACATACCTTCCACCGGTGGCAAGTTATTTAAAGCTTACGGCTGTTGAGATTTATAGAGCCTATATGGTGGCAATAGGGCATGTTTTATGGGCCTAATTTACCCTGTATACTCGGGGAATTTTTTGGAAACCCTCTTTGGAGGATAATCTACATGTATATATATATATACGCTATCCTATTCAGGCATTTTTTGCTGTGACATAGCCACATCCTTATAAAACCGCAATAACCTTCTCTAATTGAGCAATTTTTGGAAACCCTGTATTGGGTATATTAAACTCAGGTATCTACGGCCTGCTATATGCTACATACACACTATATATGTGTTTGGAATCCACGCACTGTGACTACCTGGCTCCTCACCCCCATATGCATTTTTGAAAAAGCATCAAGGACCTGATCCTATTTCAAGTTGACAGGAGTCTTCTTGATCTTTATTGATGGTAATATATCCACATTTTGTGTGTGTTTTGTTTTCGGGGTCACTTGATGCCTATGATCTATATATTTATCATTTTTCTCTATATATATCCTCAGAATCATTTGGTACTGTGGACCTTGTTTTACTTGGGGTGGCTATCCAGGAAGTCCCTACATTTGAGAAGCGGGCATGATAGTCTCATTATTGAGAAGGTAATAGTAGTATCCATTGACTAATGTGGAGGGAGGCCTGGTGATTTTTGGATGTGAATTGGTTTTCATATTCCTATACATACATTATGTATTTTTGTGTTCCAGCTCTTACATTCCAGGAGGTTCTCTGACATATATGGGGAACACATCTGTTGAACACATGGTTTACTCGAATTTAAGTGGGAAACCCACGGAAATCCAGGATAACTATCGCATCATTACACAACTCTGCCTTATATGGTGCTCTATTTGCTAAGATGACCCTAAATTGAAGACGCTAAGTGTTTTTTAACATGATTTTATTTTTTTCATATGTACACCGTGCTTATGTTTAACCTCCCTATGATCTATGTGATCAAATAAAGTATTGTTAAAATTCTTTTGAATTCATATTACTCCGCGTGGATCATTTAGTAACCTGCTTTTTTAGGTAGGGGTGTTCTTGTCACACTACCATATTGTTTAGTACTCCTTTAAGAGGTGAATGATCCAAGGTGAGCAGGAAATAAGTAAAGTGCGCACTCACCAGAAGTGCGTTTACAATACGCATAAAAGAAGTATCCTCTCTCCTGGTGCATCTAGGTTCTCCCCATCCAGGTGAAGCTGCGTTCACTAAATGCAGGGCTGCACCCTTTGAGAACGTGCTTAGCACGAAACGCGTCAAGGGCTACAGCAGCCTGGACATCCATTCTATGATTGCGGTCAGTACCTTATTTTGATTGATGTTACTTTCCAAATAAAGTGTTTATGCAGTATCACGCTATGTGATGTCCCTTATTGGGCTCTCCATGAGCGCCACCCTTTCACAGCACCAAGTTTTAAGGAGGGACTCTGGAGATGCAGTAGTGTCGGATGCACCACTGAACCAGGATTGATGACCGGTGAGATTTAGTGAACGCAGCTTCACCTGGATGGGGAGAACCTAGATGCACCAGGAGAGAGCATACTTCTTTTATGCGTATTGTAAACGCACTTCTGGTGAGTGCGCACTTTACTTATTTCCTGCTCACCTTGGATCATTCACCTCTTAAAGGAGACCTGGCAGTATTGGCACATTGCACCTCATTGCATGTTTTAGGACATTTGATTGAAGATCGCATTTATGACGAATATATGTCTTCATGTCCTCATTTGTTCTAGTCCTATAATTTGTTTTATATTGATGGTTTGCTATTAGCGCTGCACCTTTTTTCTCTATATATTATCTTGGAGGGTCATGTTGGTTACCTTTTTGATGTTCTAGTGGCTCTCTCTCTTTTTTTTCATATCCGTATTACAGTAAGCGCTCGCTGTACAAGTTTGTATCCAGTGACTGGGGGCATGCCACAGAAGATAGTCATAGGCTGTGGGCATGCTTCAGGAGATGGTCAGAAACTGTGAGCATGCTACAGGACATGGTCAGAGACTGTGGGGCATGCTACAGGAGATGGCCATAAATTGCACAAATGCTACAAGAGATAGTCAGTGACTGTGGGCATGCCACAGAAGATAGTCATAGGCTGTGGGCATGCTTCAGGAGATGGTCAGAGACTGTGGGCATACTACAGAAGACAGTCATAAATTGCACGAATGCTACAAGAGATGGTCATAGACTGTGGATATGCTACAGGAGATGGACAGAGACTGCAGGCATGCTACAAGAGATGGTCATATATTGCAAGCACGCTACAGGAGATGGTCAGAAACTGGGCACGTTACACAAGATGGTCAGAAACTGTGGATATTACACGGAAGCACATTTTTGGAGCTACACAATTCATTTGAATGGGCCACCCTCTATTCCAAAAAAGTGCTACAGGAAGCCAATGTACCAAGTTTTGGACATGAGCCAAGCACGTTTTACGACTACTACCCATGTTTGGGGTATCATTAAGAAATAATAGCACAAGCTTGTTGCTCATTTTAGCGCATTTTGCGAGCGTTTCCATAAATGCATGAAAACAAACACGCATTCTGCATTCGTTTCCACTATGCCTCTCTATATCCCGCTATGTGTTAATTGGGCCAAAGAGAAAAGGGTTCTGGGAGCGGTCTTATAGCAAGTAGGGCTAGGTAAATAAAAGTCTCTGTTACTGGTAGGCTAGGTATAAATGAGCATTTAACCCATGCTGTGCAGGGGGAGCACCACTGCAACAGGATTTTCTTTGTTCCCCTATAGTCCAGCTTTAGGTTTAACACTTACATATTACTAATCATGCCTGCACTTAAAGCTGAACTTCAGGAATAATTTATTTTTAAAATTTACATTGGGCCATCTTGGTTTTATATCCTTGCTACTTACAGTGAGGGGCTGTCCTGTTCCGGGTGCCAAAGCAGCATCTTCCGGCCTGGTACACTGAGGGCATAGGGGTGGATTTACTAAAGGCAAACAGACTGTGCACTGTTCAGTCATTTTCCTTAGTAAATACAATGAGGTATAGTTTCACTGTGTAAAGAATACCTAATCAGGGGCAAATAAAATGCTTGCACATGATTGGATGATGGAAATCAGCAGAGCTTTATCACATTTACTAAGCTCTGGGGAAAATGAGTGCAATCGCATTTGCAAGGTGCAGTCTATTTGCTTTTAGTAAATCCACCCCATAGAGTCACTGGTTTGGCACTGCTGCCATTCAGAAAACATCCCAGACAGCTCCTAGTCTCTATTTTAATCGAGATGAGATGGGCTCCTGATCATGTGATCATTGTGATAATCACAGCGATCACGTGATAAGGAATTCCATCCTGTCCCTCCACTTTAACCTCTACACGCCGAGTGCACGCAAATGTGCGGCCTATCGGCGTCTGGGCCTTGACGCCGAGTGGCCGCACATTTGCATGCAATTAAAAAAACCATATGCACTAAGAGCGCCTGCCCTGCGCGCTCACAGCACTCATGTCCGGTACTCACAAAAAGGTCCCGATCTCCTCTTTTGATCAGGACCTTTCCCGATCATGTGACTGCCATGACAGCGAATCACGGCGGTCACATGACCCTAAAACCCCGCCCGCCTCCCGGCTTCTGAAACCTTTAACTAGTTGCTGACCGCAGATAGCCGAATGACGGCTGCACTGCGGCCGGCCAGTTCTGGGTGGACGTCATATGACGTCCTCCCAGAACGCGCTCTCCTGCACGCCCCAGGGAGTGCGCACCCGGCGATCTCCGTGATCGCTGTGTCCTACGGACACAGCTGATCACGTGATGTGGTAAAAGGCCAATAACAGCGGCCTTTTACCACGTGATCAGCGGTGTCCAATGACATGCTGATCACAGGGAAATGCAATTGCCGGTTCTCGGCTGCACTTTCCTCACGCTGTCAGATCGTGAGGAAAGTACTGCCGAGAACCGGCAGTTGTCGGAGCGAGGATCGGCACCGATCATCAGGGCACTGATGATCAGTGCCCTGATGATTGGTGCCCAGCAGTGCCACCCACAAGTTCCGCCCACCTGTGCCCATCAGTGCGCCCACTAGCTCCGCCCACCTGTGCCCAGCAGATCACCCACCTTTGCCCAGCAGTGCACCCACCTGTGCCCAGCAATGCACCCACCTGTGCCACTCTGCAGTGTCACACACCTGTGCCCAGAAGTGCCACCTACCTGTGCCCAGCAGTGCCACCCACCTGTGCCCACCCACCAGTGCTGCCCCACCAGTGCAACCCAGCAGTGCTGCCAGTCAGTGCCACCAGTCAGTGCCCAGCGGTTGTGCCAGTCAGTGCCACCAGTCAGTGCCCAGCAGTGATGCTAGTCAGTGCCGTCTATCAGTACCCATCATCAGTGCCGCCTATCAGTGCCGCCTATCCGTGACACCTCATTAGTGCTGCCTATCAGTGCCGCCTATCCGTGCCACCTCATTAGTACTGCCTATCAGTGCCCTTTAGTGTTGCCTATCAGTGCCCATCAGTGCCGCCTATCAGTGCCCATCAGTGCTGCCTCATCAACGCACATCAGTGAAGGAGAAAAATTACCTGTTTGAAATATTTTATAATAGAAACAAAGAAACTTTTTTTTTTTTTTTTCAAATTTTTTGCACTTTTTTTGTTTATAGCGCAAAAAGTAAAGCGCCCAGTGGCGATTAAATACCACCAAAAGAAAGCTCTATTTGTGAGAAAAAAATGATCAAAATTTCATATGGGTACAATGTTGCATGACCGCGCAATTGTCAATCAAAGTGCGGCAGCGCTGAAAGCTGAAAATTGGCCTGGTAAATAAGGGGGTATAAGTGTCTGGTAGGCAAGTGGTTAAAGGGCCGGGAGGCGCCAAGGGGTTAAGATCCAGTTAAACAGTCACAGTGAGTGGATCAAAAGAGGTTAACAATAACAATACAATTTTATGATTTAGGAAGCTTCTGTTTGTCATCTTGCTTTTTGAATTTGTACAGTTGAGGAGGGCTCATGATCTTTGGGGTCAGCGAACAGCTTAACAAACTGGTCACAATTGGCCATTTCGCCCACAAACATCAGCCAGGGATCTGTCAGTATGCGTTGGTAACTATATGGCCCAAAATGACAGATCTTTAAATGGCCAGGGGGAGATTTACTAATACTGGAGAACTCAGAATCTGGTGCAGCTGAGCATGGTAGCCAATCAGCTTCTAACTTCAGCTTGTTCAATTAAGCTTTGGGAATAAAACCTGGACGCTGTTTGGTTTCTATGCAGAGCGGCATCAGATTTTACACTTTCCAGTTTTAGTAAAACTCCCCCATGGTTTTTTTTAACCTTTTTTTAAAATGTGTACTGTCCCATTAAAAAACAAAAAAACAGCATGGGAATTTCTTACAACGAATACCCAATCCTTATCCAGGGATGTAGCCTGGGTGGCAGGAAATGATGGGCAGAAAACGTGCAGCCCCCTCCTGAACCATACCAGGCCACATGCCTTCAAAATTGTGAGCACACCTTGACAAAGCCTCTCTCCCATTTGCAAGAGACCTTGTCTAAAAGTCAAGTGGACAAGAGCTTCAGCCCTATATTCTGTCCCCCAAATAAGAGGTTTGAGAAGTTGGGCTTATCGGAATTTGGAAGCCTCCTTTAATAATAAAGGTTTAACATTAAAAAGGAAAGAAAAATCTGATGCTAGGTCTACTTTAATCCCTTAAAATGATGATGATGATTTTTATTATTAATATTTTTCCATTATTATCATTAGCCTTATTAAGAAGTATTCACAGATTTAGGTTTTCTATAATTTGCAACAGCTGTGACTGATCATTTAGCAGAAATGAAATAACAGGGATTTTGAATTCATGAAAAAAGTGGGATTTTAATGGCAGATTCTGCACAAATTACAGCAGTAAACATTGATTATGCTCTCCTGCAAGCTAAAACAGTATTGACCGGCAAGCTATTTCCCTATGCGAGTGTACGGCGCTGAAGAGAAAAGCAGGTCTGTGTTCGCCAGCATTTACACATCCACTGAGGCAGAATTAGAGGTTCTCCATGAGAAAGCTCTGATGCCAATTGTATGATGCTCATTATGTGCTTTCCTCAATATTGCACTATAAATATTTGCTGTCTGTCCACCTGCTGCTGAACTGTACTTTCCAGCATGAACTCCGAATGCTGGATTATTGGATACTGAAAATGTATTCTGTGTGGACTTATCAGTGAAGCATGTGTGAAGTGAAATCCCTTCTGGAAACCAATAAGTATTTATTCTTTATCAATCTAAATCCAGGAAATCAGAAATCACATTTGTTGTCGGGTAGGGTACATCATTTCATCATTGCACTTAAAGGACAATTGTATCTTTAGTAGTTTTAGCACAACTGCCCTTTAATTAATCCTCCAACCCAATGAGTGCAACCAGCCTGGTAAAACACTTACCTTCCTCCATGTTCCACCATTCCAGCGATCTTCATGGTGTGGCCCTGGCTGGAGCTTTGCAGCCTTTGCACCTTTTTATGTTTTCTAACAAATGAGTTTAATGTCGCATGGCACATACACACATATGAGACACATAACGTTAGGCGCTTCATCTCACAATGCGCCCTACGACATTACACTCAAGATAAGGTGCAAAAGATCATAGGTGGGCCAGCAGAGGAGATAGAAGAAGAAGACAACCATCAATAGTGTTGTTTTTAAAAAGTGATGGTGCAAGAGCAGAGGCATAGGTAGAACACATGCAGTGTGAATGTGCTGACATACAGTATCTCAAAGTACACCCTCAATTTTTTGTAAATGTTTTATTATATCTTTTCATGTGACAACACTGAAGAAATGACACTTTGCTACAATGTACAAGTAGTGAGCGTACATCTTGTATAACAGTGTAAATTTGCTGTCCCCTCAAAATAATTCAACACCCAGCCATTAATGTTTAAACTGCTGGCAACAAAAGTGAGTACACCCCTAAGTGAAATGTCCAATTTGGGACCAATTAGCCATGTTTCCTCCCCGGTGTCATGTGACTTGTTAGTGTTACAAGGTCTCAGGTATAAATGGGGAGCAGGTGTGGTGTGTTAAATTTGGTGTTATCGCTCTCATTCTCTCATACTGGTCACTGGAAGATCAACAAGGCACCTCATGGCAAAGAATTCTCTGAGGATCTGAAAAAAAAGAATTGTCGCTCTATATAAAGATGGACTAGGCTATACGGAGATTGCCAAGACCCTGAAACTGAGCTGCAGCACGGTGGGCAAGACCATATAGCAGTTTAACAGGACAGGTTCCACTCAGAACAGGCCATGGTCGACCAAAGAAGGTGAGTGCACGTGCTCAGCTTCATATCCAGAGACAAAAACTGGATTTTATATTGTGTTTGTGAGCACTAGAGTGCATTAAAGTGTATTTACTTCCTGAATATTTGCATTTGAGAAACTGCAGCACAAAAATTGAGCAACGTAAAAAATTGCAAAAACAACCATTTTATTCTCCATGGCCTTTAAAAATAAATCATGTAAATTTCTAGCAAAGAAATGCTGTTTTTTTTTACATGTATGAGAAATGTCAGGATTGGACTAGACTGAAGGTGTTTAAGGCTTCTACTCTAGGCACTACTCACACCTGAGTATTGTGTAGATTGAAGGTCAAAGATTCTCAGCAAGCAAAATCCTATTCAATTCAATGACCCCTATTCACATCTGAATGTTTTGTCACCTGTAGAAAAATTTCTGTTGCTTAAAGGAGCTTTTTTGGCTCCATAGACTTTAATAGGAAACCTGAAAAACGAGCATGATGCGGGTGTTTTGATGCACATTTTCCAGCCAAGCAGTAACTCTCCACCCCTAATATCCTACCCCTAGTGCTTTCTATTGGTGAAAATAAAAACACCTGAAGCTTAAATACACATGTAAAATGATTGTAGCACATGTCTAAAACACTTCTAAATGCTTGCAAAACTGTCAAATAAAATTGCCTGAAAATCGCTCAGGTCAAGTGTGAATGCAGCCTAGGTTCACCCACAACGGGTATATTCAGCCATCCTGAATGCAGTGTCAGCAAACAATGTTTATTATGGTACATATTATTCCTACATGAGCTTATGAGCTTCTTCATGTGTTTTGCAAAAAATAGGTATAAATAACTCTGAATTACATAGGCTTTGTCCTAGTCTAGAGATCCAGTGGTTTCAAGCCATCTTTTGTAACCCATCACAACCAATCAGAAGTCACCTTGTTGCACTCTCTGTTCTTTGTTCTGCCTTAAACTGCCATAGGGTGAAATCTGATTGGTTGCCACATCTCCGTGGGTTTCTCTGTTAATAGGCGTGTTAGTGTCTTCATGTGGCCCTGGGTTTTCAATACTGCTGACGTACTTGTTACTTTGATATATCATGGTTCTACATTGAAAATGCTGGCAAGGTTTCGCTGTAACAGAGAAAAACTGTTTGCTCCTTGCAGCTCTTTTAGAACATGACATTGTCATAGCAACAAGGTTCACATTTTTCCTTTTGTTGTTCGTGTGGTCATATACCATGGGAAAAGAACACGGGGAAATAGAGCCATTACAGACACCACAGACAATCATTTGCCGGGGGGTAGATGTGGGTTTGCATCTTTCTATTTCTTATCTTTCATCTTTTATGGTGATTACTCTGTACATACGCAATTAAAGGAATCACATTGTTTTCAAATATATGCCAATTAAAAAAATTAAAAGCAAGAACACAATTTGAAATAGTAGCCATTTTTTTAGCTTCAAATTAGAGTTGCCTGAGGATGCTGAAAAATTACATTTATATCTTGGTAGGCTTCTTGTAATGTAACACAGAGGTTCTTAACTTTCGTGAACAACATTCAAAGGGTTGTTGTAGCTGTAATAAAAATACATGCAGTTGCCACTAGTCAGCCATTCATTTCTTATAGGACATTGTGAAGAAGACATAAACAGGTCTCCATCCCCAAGACGAGGAGAAGAATCAATGATAGAAGATATCATCAGTCACAGTCTGAGGGGTGTAGGACTTGTGGTTGTAGGGGACAGATGATTTATATCTATCTAATAAGATAACCTATGGATGCCTAAAGCCTACTACATGCACCCATGAATATAGTAATTGCCAGTATCCAAAACTCCACTCATGAATAATAACAATAGTAATATAATTGTATGACTTAGGAATCTTCTGCTTGGTAACATGCTTTTTGAATATGTACAATGCCAAGGGTGTTGAGTAGAGATGAGCTTCTTCGCCCACCTGAACTTAAGCACTACCACTGCAAACTTCCAGAACCCCGGCTGGCTGGTGTTTTTTTCTCTGTTTTTTGTGTACTGTGCCCTTTAAAAAAATGGCATAAATGCCCCCTTAAATTCCATAGCATATACTTATTCAAGAAAGCAGCCACTCCAGGAAAGGAAGGTCAGCAAGCATGCGCCCCTCCCTCCTGAACCATACCAAGCTATACGCCTTCAACTTTGGAAGGGTACCTTGCAAGGGTGAACAGCAAAACCTTCTTCCCCCTGCAACCCACCTTGTTTCCCCAAAAGGGATGTGGAGCATTGAGGAAGC